CTGGAAATTAAATAAATTAAAAGTGGTCTCTGACTTCTGTATGGTTCTGTACACTACCAGTCAAAAGGACACACCTACAACCCCAATTCCAAAAAAGTTCGGACAGTATGTGAAATTCCAACAAAAACAGAAAACAGTGATTATTAAATTCAGTTTCACCTGTATTAAGTTGGAAATGGTATTTTTATGTTTTACCTTATAAACTTTAGAAAATACAAACTCTATTGTTTTTTTGGTAAATATATGCTCATTCCAATCATGCCTGCAACACATTCCAGAAAGTCTGGAAGGGGAGCATGTTAACCACTGTGTCAACTTCACATTTAACAATACTCAATAATTGTTTCAGGACTGAAGACTCAAAGTAATTCAGTTTTGAAAGCGTAATTTTTTGCCATACTTCTGAAGACTCGTGTTGTTCTATTTTAATCTTGATAAGACACATTTTCAATAGGAGACAGTTCTGGACTTCAGGCAGGCCAGTCTAGCGCTTGCACTCTCTGATTATGCAGCCATGCTGTAGTAACATGTGCAGAATGTGGCTTGATGTTGTCATGTTAAAATAAGCATGGTCTATGAAAAAGACGTTGCCAAAAAAAACAGCACATGTTGCTACAAAATGGGTTCAGTGTTAATGGTGCTTTCACAGGTGTGCAGTTTACCCACTAATTACCCCTCCACACCATGACTGACTCTGGCTTTTGAACTATATACTGGTAACAATCTGGATGCTTCTTTACTTTGATGGCACAGAGAACATGACGTCCATTACTTCCATAAACACATCATGCATCAGTCCATTTCAGGTGAGCTCGTACCCAGAGAAGTCAGCAGCATTTCTGGATTTTTTTGGACAAACAAGCAGGCATAACAGACAACCATAACAAAATTCCAAATGTAATTGCAGACACAAGTACATTCATCATTTTAGATGAAGAGATTGCTCATACTTCAGTTCACATGCCACATACAGTGCAGGACACCAGATACACACACGTATATATATATATATATATATGTGTGTGTGTGTGTGTGTGTGTGTGTGTGTGTGTGTGTGGTGTGAGACTGTTTGTATACGTATACATACATACGTATAAGTTCTTAAAACATTGAGAATATTACACACGTTCTATTAATGTTTTCACCGAATTTTTTTGTTCCCAGAATGTTAAAAACATCCTTCAAACATCCTCTGAATGTTGCAGTTAAAATGTTATGTCTTTAACTTTAACGTTAACATGTAACCTTATAGGAACATTACTTGAAACGATAAACATCCATAAAAACATTTTTGAACATCAGATTAACAGGAATTCTTTTAACATCATTTGAACTTGTAGGTAACGCCAAAGTTATGGGAGCGTTTTCTGCTAGCTGGGTAGTAGTGCATGTTTACTCTATACTGTGTCAGAACAGGGACAACACATGCCCCTGCTCTAATACACCCAGTTCACCTCAGGAAGGGTTTGTTAGTTAGTTTCTTTAGCTCCATTAGGAATGTTAGAGAAGGGCAAACTTTAAATTGTGCAGGGCAGGGGGTACTCCAGGACCAGAGCTGAGAACCACTGATCTAAACCTAACCTTAATCTTAACCTCAGTAACCAAAAAAGAAGAAACAGTGAAACATGGAACTTCTACACAAAGCACTTTATAAACTTGGGTCCACTTTGCAGGTCCTGATTATGTAGATTAACCTTGTTTTTCTCTGGTTTTCTTAAGACATTTCTGTGCTGAAAATATACTAAAACACATACTCACTAGCCAGATGTTAAGCAAGGCTTGTGGGTAAGATCTGCGGTGGGTTATTTTACAGCAGAGAGAGCGAGGGGTGTGTGTGAATCGACTCCCTGCAATTTGTTTGCTCTCGCATCCAGAAGATTTATGGCTGCCTTTTCCCCGCAGAAAGACACCACTTCCGCCCCCTAAATCCCCACGGCTAGCCTGCAGATGCCTAAAACCAAGTTGCTTCTATTGAAACAGGTGACTCAGGCCAGTCCTGCAACCTCCGAAAGACAGAGGGATAAACGATAGAGGCCAGGATGGAGGGAAAAACAGTGAAAAGAGAGAAGAAAGAGTGCTGTTAATGTTGATGGAGTCCAGGCATCTGCTTCCCATATCAACACACTTATGCCGGGAGCAAAGGGGAATGGGGGAATCGGACCTCAGCTTTAGACTCTAGCACATGAACGTGAAACCAAATCCCTGCATTGACAGCTCAGCTCTGCTATTGATTACAGACAGTGCAGAGGAGGCTTATGGGAGATCATTGAGGGTGGCGTAAAAGGGCATTTCAGAACTTGACATGTAAAGTCCATCACAGTGGAAGGAGTAAGAGAGCATCACCAGTTTACAGCTGGTCCATCTGACTGCAGGGACAATTGAAAAGCAGGAATTAACAGCCATTCATGGGTATCAAACAATGCAGCGGAAACGTGGGGTTCAGGCTTGAACGGAACACAATACATGGAACAGCACAACACAATAGCAAGAACATTTTTCCCTTCCACATTTAAATTATATAAACTGTACATGTTCTGATGCTGACGTCATGTATTTAAACACTATGTGGCCAAACAATGACTGCTAAAAATGTATGGGAAATGTCAGGCTGATTCGGCTACTGTGCAACTTCATAAACAAAACCATCATAGCTGTCACATGACAACAATAATGCAGAACATTATTTCATACGGGGAGTAAGTAACAAACTGTCAATTTAAAGTTTTCAAAACACTTTTAATAAATGATCATGTTTTCTTGGCCGTTTTGCAATAAGTTAACAAGTTATTCTGTATGTACAGAATAACTCATGCAGTTTGCATTGTAAACAACTAAGTCTTGGGAATGTAATAAGGCTGCAGGGCTGGGATTTTACAGGGTTAGGTAGAAAGCTAGTAGAAAAAAAACAAAAAAAAACAACAACAACCCAAAAAAAAAGAACAAAACTGTCAAAAGACCTTGCTTTGGAAATAATGCTAAACTCCAAACATTGTACACTACAAAAAATGGTATGTTGTCAAGTAAAATTATCTTAAATATAGTCAATAAATCTAATATTTCTCCGGTTGAAATTGTGGCAAGCTTAATTTAAGATTATTGAACTTATTTCTAGACATTGTTTACTTGTTTCAAATAATTTTATCAGGTAAAATGATCTCACTATATTGGAAGATAATTTTGCTCATTTTAAGAAATGTGCTTGAAACCAGCAAAATTATCTGCCAGTATAGTGACATAATTTTACTTAAATAAAAACTGAAAACAAGTGAAAAATGTCTAGAAATAAGCAAAATAATCTCATAACCATCTAAAAATGGGAAATTTTAGATATATTGACTAGATTTAAGATAATTTTACCTCACAGGATAACATTTTTAGCAGTGTAGCTACTTGTCGTGATCAAACATTGCATTATAGTAAAACCTTCATGTTGAAGGAGAACTGAAGAGCTACATACAGTAAATATGGTGTTTAAAGGAAAGACGCAAAACAGCTTGAAAAGATTGGTTAGTCTAGTTTGTATAACAAGTATGGTGGCTAGTTAGAGCATTATAGCTAATCCATCTTAAGTTTTAGTAAGACATATGATCTGTAACTGACTAAAACTTGCTAAATTAGTAATTGCACTTCCATAGCATACTTATCATCCAAACTACATGCTAGCTGCATATACAGCATGTAATTTCCAATAACAAAATGCTTGTTATTTGAAATCACATTGAACCTGAAGGTGCTGTGAGCTGCAGGACAACAACACTGCAGTAAGGACTAGTAAAACTGACATGCAATGTCGCAAACATAAGGCTGAAATCTGAGATTTTACTCGTGTACTACAATAAAATTGGTACAAATCTAATTTGAGTCTTGTTCCTTCTTAACTAAAGTCTTGAGTGAAATCAAGATGGGCTAGTCTAAAAATATGCATTATGGCAGCAAAAATATACCTCACCCATTCACTTTTATTGGAGTCTTTCAGAATTAAACTGTACAGTACTCAACTGAAAACACATAAGGATCAAACTGAAAACCTTCATGTGGCTAAATGTTAGCTTGGAAACAGGTATACATGTTAAACTCTCTCCAAATAGAACAAAGAGTTGTGATGTCTTGATATGACAGTGATATGTACGTGTATGCCTGGAGAGAGAAGAGAGATAAACTAATGCCTGACTACAGATCGTTGTTGTGAGCAGGGCGGTTCATCCAGAGTGGAAATGCTGACTTCATTCCCCTCAGCGTTTCACTCCGGCTCTCTGGGGTTCAGGATCTCTGCCACAGTCGACACCTGCACGAGCATCTACCCTCCCCCAACACTTTCACCTCCAACCCCACTCAGACTGAACCCTGCTGGGTGAGGCACGTTCAGATCCTGCAGAGTTCCACAATGTTCTGCTCTTCTGCTTCCCTCAGGTTCTTTCTCCCTCCGTAACTTTTTCTCCCTGCCTTTCTTTTTCTCACTTACTCTCGCACACACACACACACCCCTACAGGGTCAAACAGATGGAGCTTTTCAGAGGGCCTCTCTTCCTCAAGCGGAGAGAAGCTTTTGGCAGGTTTTTCAGCGAAACGAGGGCGAGAGCCAACATCACTAAAGCTCCACTTGCCCTGACCTGAACTTCATAAATTTCACTATTGTCTTTATTGCCATCAAAGTCATTACACTTCCCATTACAGCGCTGGCCAGCCATGTCATAGGCAACATTAAAGTGATCTACAGGATCAGAAAATAGATTAAAGAGAAGGAAGTCAAGGAAGGATATTTCTTCTCCTTCCTTTTCCGTCCTTTCAGCAGCTCCGAAATGTGCTCGCCATACCAGGAGAACAAAGCATGATGTTCTTTCTGAACTGAAACCCCCATATTTCTCTGCTTTCTGACCAACAGGCTAGACCCATATGTGTTATGTTGAAGAGAAAGGAAAGCTGTGAATTTGAACCCACCTTAAAATCTCTTACCTATTTTTGGACGTGTTGAATGAATACATGAAGGGAAATACACCTACTTACTGTAAACAAGATGAAGGAACAACCTTCTGTTTATTTCTTCTAGATTTGATATGTACAGAGAAATAGCTGTGTACAGTTTCATACAGTATGTATAAAGACTATGAAAAAAAAAAAACACAATTGCACCGTGCTTACATTTATCTGGGTTATCTGGGATACCACTTTACCTCTGGAGAATACATACATTGTAAAAGTCATAAAAATACAAAAACATGTGCATATTACTCTTTGTTTCTCTTTTAAGGTATCAACCAAATGGTTTGTGATGGGCAGTTATGTGTTATTACGACAACAAACAAGTAGAATAATCGCATATGATAAAATATGTGCATTCCACGACATAGAAGTACAAAACATCATCCCTCCTTACAGGCACTTAAACCATCTCCAGCATCTCTGACATTTATGTAATGCATAAAATACAAAATCTGAAATATGAAAACAGCTAATGCCAAAAATAAACAACAACAACAAAAAAAAAAACAAAATTGCTGATGTTCTTTCACAAAGAGGCAATACTTGAGACATCCGTCGTACCACAGGACCAAAAGGCAGTCTCTGGAAAGTACCAGTTACTCCAACCACAGGAAGATATCTGTCTTTGCCATGTACACAAAGACAACGTTACTGTATTTTGTTCCCCACAGAGAAGAGAAGGAGAGGAAAAGGAAAAGAGAATGAATGAGAGAGGAGGCCAGAAAGCCTTTTGTTCCAGCTCTGTTCGAGACTTTACAGCAGTGCCTGGCTTGGCCTTGCCTTTCGTGTGACATCACTACAGCTCTTTCAGCTTTTACTCTGTGGTCCACAGCCAAGCGCTTTATCCCACTGCCAAAGTTCAGTTCATCCATGAGAGAGTCATGTTACAGGCAACGGCAACAGACACACACAGCCACGCTCACAAACTCACACATTCACATAGACAGAAACACACAGGTTTGTTTTTATACAATGGCAGGACCCATATATTAATGTAAGTACACATATATAGAAATACTGCTAATATGTATCATATGTATTATAGTTACACTACTGTTCAAAAGTTTGAAATCGCTGTTTTCAATAACATAAAACAATTTTGCTGTAGATAAATGTATAAATTGATTCTGTTGTGGTGCTGCTACTGTACAACAGCGGTCCTCAACCTTTTCCATTTCAAGGCCCAACTATTTATTACTAGAAAGTATGAAGACTCACAGAAAAATATGTCAACTTTTTTATTAAGAAATTTCTTTTTGGGGGGAAATTTTCAACACAGCTATGTTTGGGTGCCTATCCCTGCAATATACAACACATGTTAGCAAACATAAGATGTCAACAGAATTTTTGTGTATTTGGTGTATTTGGCTTCTAGATGTAAGGGGATAAAGTGTGACATTGATGCAACAAATTTGAATTTTTTTAAAGTTATATCAATTATTTTTCACTGATTTTTATGACAAAGTGCCATCACCACCCTCTGTGGACCACTGCCCCCCTTCAGTACTGGCCTGAGGACCAACAAAGGATGTTTTGCGGTCCACTTGTGGTCCAGGGCCCAGTGGTTGTGAAACCCTGCTCTATAACTGCACTGATTTCAAATAATTTTCTGGAAACTGTAAAAAAGAAGTGAAGAAATATTAAATGTGTCCTGGAAAAAGAACAAAGATGTAAATGATTACTTAATTACTGAGAAATCAGTCCAACATTTAGAATGAAAATTACAATCTGGAATGCCTCATATTTAAAGAAAAAAGTGGTGATCAAATCTTGAGGAATTGCAATAAATCAATAAGTACATATTATTTATCAATAAATAATTCCTTATGTTCTGAACACTTCTACAGTGCTTAATTTGTTACTGAATAAAATAACTATTAATTTGACAAATTATTCCAAACTTTTGAACATAGCACACTTTATAATAACAATATGTCCCATATGTATTATAAATGTATTACCCTTACAAAAAATGGATTTTTAAAAACTTAAAAAAAATTATTTTACAAAGTCAGAACCATTTTTGTTACATTACATTGTAGGTCATGTCTGTTTTTTCTGATTTTTGTAAATCTAAAATGTTTGAAAACAAACACATGCACACACACGAACAAGCATAAAGCAACATGATGCGAGTTGTAGATTGAGTTTTTGATTATAATCATGATGTATGATGGGAGCTGGAGCTGAGAGCAGGCTGTAGAGATCAGAGTGGGGTCAGGTTTAACATAACATACTGATGTTTTACTGCATACAAAGTGTGAGCAACTCCCCATTAACCTGCATGATAACACATTCAGTATGGACCAGACTCAACGTCTGACTGAGTCTACATAATCAAAGACTGGCCAAGATAGACAGACACATGCGCGCACACAGATGACATCCAAATCAATTTTTCATCACGGTGCATTAATTACAGTCCTGCTTTGACCCTGGTCACATGAGTGATATTCCAGGACAGGTGTGTGCATATGCACAGCGGAGGATTTGAAGCTTTAGCAGTGTGTGCAGGGCTGTGTTAGCTGGATAGATAAGAAAAGACTTCTTGCAAATTTAAAAAAAAAGGATGATGGACAGAAGAACAACGGGTGTAATTTGCAATTAATATATCTTGTGCTGAGTTTGTGAGGAACTCTGATGTACTGAATGTACTGATGTCTATTTTTAAAAGATGAGTGAGGTGACTGGGGCCAAATCCCATAGGGCTCCCTATTGAATATACAGTGGACTTTTTATGCTCAGTGTAGTGCACTGTGTAGGGAGTTAGGGGTCATCTGACATTCAGCTTAGGATTTTCTTTAAAGGCTGCTGGGTGACAGGCCCAACCATACACATACACCACACACTTCAGTCAAACAGCTAAAGCCTATGGACTTTCTCTCTTCCTCTCTCATGCTCTCTCTCTCCCTCTCTTTCAAACACACTGACACACACAACGACCTCTCCTTTGCAATACTCAGAATAATATTTGAAACCCACTCATATCCTCTCCTTTCCTGAACACTGCACTCGACATTCCAAATTGATGCTCGATTTGAAATAGGATATGTAGGTCACAGCACTATAAGAATACCAATGCAGCAAAGCCGTACACTGGCTGTCACGTGATTGTCAAGGATAACTGGAAGGAATTCAGGTTAAAGATACAACACTCATACACTTTCATACACACACACACTCACACCGACATACTAAAACTGAGGACTGTCCAGCTGTGGTCCAAGAGATTACCAGGTTTAGTAGGTGTCCTTGTGCAGGAAAATCAACAAACTGTGCTGGACACCAGCCCTCCAGGACCAGAACTGAAAACTCCTTTACTAAGGGAAGTTGGCAGACCACAATCATGTATTAAAAAACAAAAGTATCAATGTATTGTACATTACATGTTTAAAAACAGATTCATTAACCAAAACCCCATTTTTTCTCCAAGGTTTAAAAGTTCAAAGTTCTGAATAAAATACTCCAGCAGTTATCAATCAAATCTCTATTAGCTACATCCACAGCGTCTGGCCAAATTATCACTCACAGTCATGACAAAGACTTTCTCTGTACTTAGAAAAGAACAAAAAACCTACTTGAAGACACATTTTGTAGAACGCTTTCATGAATTCTTCAGTCAAAGCTATTTGAGAACTGTATTTTTTTTTACTGCTCCAGAGTTCATAAGTTGGATAAAACTTTATAAAAACAGCTTTAGTAAGACTAGTTTCTCTCATGTCTGTCTCCTCCTAGCACCTGTACTCCTAAGAGTGTAATGGTTGTACTTTCAAATTCCCGTTATGTAGCTACTTATTTCAAAAGGCTCTTCATGGAATTCAGCAAGGGCCCAACAGCTTCTACTATAAATAAGTTTAATGCAAACTGACTTTCTGTTCTTTTCTAAGTATGTGGAAATGGGTTGAGATTATTGGCCATGTTAATCGACAGAATGACGCAGACGTAGCAGATAGAGATTAGGTTGAAAAATTGCTAGAGTTTGCCTATAATTGCATCTCCCGCCAGTACCACTGTGCACTGCTGGTGTGGCCTATACAGGCCCTTCACTCGTCCCACCTAATCTCTCTCTCTCCTTCCCCCACAACTCAGGAGTGGAATGGCCGGCCTTTCTCAGGGCTCTGCAAACGGTTGAGACGGGCGAGCTGGGACGGGGAGGGTGGGACATCCTGCCTGTAGGGGCCTTTGGGGGGTGTGGGGGCCACAGCTGGAGGGTCAGATGGTGAAGCCAGTTTGGCCTGAGCTTCCTGTTCTTTACGCCTCTGCTCCTGCCGCAGCAGCTCCTGGGTTTCCAGCAGGACGCGAGCGTTCAGGCCGGACACGGGGGTGCTCAGGTAACCGTTAGTGCCCCGGCCACCCTGATAGCTGGAGTAGCGCGGGTTCTCTTTAGCAGACTGGAACACCTCACCAGGGGGATAGACCTTATCCCAGGAGTCCTGAGATACGGTGCTGGGGTTTTTACGTGGTTGCCTATGAAACAGAGAGAGAGAGACTGAGTGAGAGAGAGAATGTAGTTAGGTCATGTACAGAGTTTCATCCATGGAAGTGAATCGAATCCCTCAAATGGTTTGCAACACTTAGATGTCTACAGTTGTAACAGCTGTTATACTATTAAATGTATTTAAGTAATTACATAGTTATTATATGTTATATGTATATCTTATATACATAAAGAATTACGTTTCTATTTGATTTACATGCTTTATCTGGATCAAGTCTGTTCCAGTCTGTTTCGCTGTCAAGAAAAATGGCAAAAACATAAGACAAAAACTATAAACACAACATACCTCGCATCAAATTGAACTCATGATAAGATATTTCCTTTTAAACTTGCAAACACAAACATGGTATCAATTGAAAGCTAAGAATCAGCACTTACAGCAGAATTTATCTGCTTCTTTCAGGAGGCTGAGTGAGACATTTTCAATAAAATTGAAATGTAATTGCAAACTCTCCAGCCATGTCTTCTATTTGTTAAAGACACAGAGTGTAAGAGCTTTGCATGCGTGTGTTCTTCTTTGGCCTGTTATCACATACAGATGTTGTATGCAGCGAAGCTCTCTGTTTCACATGACATTCATTACTCTTAATCAGCCTGCAGTCCTGTTATCCAGGACCACACTCTCTAACTTAAATGTAGGCCTGAGTGGATTCATATGGCTCTGTCCACAGTGTATACATGTTAAGAGTGGAGAAATAGATCAAAAAAAAAAAAAAAACATTATACCAAATATTCCCCCATGCTGAGCTGTGTATTATGAACACTAGACAATATGTGCCTCGACAGAAGCATCATCAGCTGTTGTTCAAACATAGACTGCTTTACATCCTTTCTAGCCTGACCTTATTCATCAAGCCCCCTGCCTGTGCGTCTTAATATGCAGCTTACTCTCTGGAAACATTAGTGATTATTAGTGCTGTGCGATGCTGATAAAATTCAACATCAATATTAGTCATTTTAATGGACTGTGTAACAGCTATACATAGGCGTAGTTCACTTCCATCCATCTTTTATTGCGTATCATGTATTATAATAAGTATTATTGCTATGCATTATGACATAAATAACTCTTATCCACAACCTATGGTAGTGAGGCATGTTTTCACAAGTTAAAGCTGCATTATGCATTTTCTTTAGTTAAAATTGAAAGAAGTAGCCTTACTGACTTAAGAGAAAAAAAACATCCTAAAATATGGTGTGCATGCACTGCTGCGAGTTTCAATGTAAAGTAAATATAATCATTTAAACCCAAAGATGTCGGACTGAATTTTGTGGAAGTTTTTCCAGACATCTTAACATAAAATGTTCTTCCTTGTGTGCAATTACACATTTCTACCAGAGAGGTTGCTAAATCCCCAATACATACATAGTGTAGCTGTGAATGTGTTTAGACTGTATTTGAACTAGCCAACTTTCGTTTAAATATGGGCATGTAAAATGTGAGTGCACATGTACTGCATTTCAAGTCTATTTTATACTGTTTACTGCAAGAGACATCACACAAAAACATGTAGATAATACACTCCCACCACATTTCCCAGTTGCGTTTTAAGTGGCTAAAACAAAACATTCTGATTACCTACAATAAAATCAGCATTCAAATTTAATTTAAAACTGAGAAAAAGCAATATGCCACTGTGCAGCATCATGAAACCCTGAGATATAAATATAAGTAGTCAAAACAAAAAAGAAAGATATCAGTTCTGACTGTATAGCTCCATACACAGTTATTTTACAGATGCATTTTAAAGCAACTGTTACTCACTTTAATCAACACAAAATCATCAGGGAGGTCAATTAAACAGGATCACTTCACATAAAGTATGTCAAAAACAAAACATATCAGGCTAGAATGTCACATTATGCACATGCCAAAAACAGAGAGATTTAAAAACTGGATCAGGACAGACAGAAGCATGATATTTCTGAATATCTGTATATATATTCTAAAAATATGATACATTAAATATATAGACTAATATGAGATTATTACTGTATCAGACAATATTTCAGTTTGCATTCATAAAGTCTATTCTTCTTAAGTGCTGCTACTCTACACTAAAAGACTGTCATATAGACCTGAAGTTCCATATATTTCCAAAATATGTTTTTTCTACCAACTTTCTACCAACTACCAATATTACTAAAATAAAAAAATCAATACAGTTATGTGACACCAATACTGATATAAAGATACTGATTATAAATTGCCCAGTACTGCTGATTATTAGTTGTTATTATTAGGCACAGTTCCTTCAGGGAGGAGAGTTTTCAGCTGTTAAGATGACATCTTTCGACAGTCTCTAGATTGTTCTCTCCTTGCTTTGCACTCTGTCACAAATGAGTTATGTATCAGTAAAGTATGGTGACGGTATGAGGTCATGACAGAACTGTTAAATTTAGAGCCAATGTGTCAAAAAATGGAGAAAAACACTACAGTTTGATTGTTAGACCAAAACATCTGGTACAGATCAAAGTTTTACAAAAGGCTTTCTGGGGAAATATGCTGTGGAAGTATCAATAAGTGTAGAATACATTATTTATATAATGTATAAGACCTTAAGCAATATGTTCCTTTAGTTAACAAGGCATAGAAAGGGTGCGCTTTGTGTATTTGTCTCCTACTATATACGCATCTCTCTTTCTCTGTCTCATTATGTCGCTCCATCTCTCTTTCTATATCTCTCAATCTCTGTCTAATCCTTCTCCAAACATCACCCCCTTCATTACCGCAGCACTAATTCTACACAGTACAGCCATTTGCTCGATATCTCTGTCACTCTACCGGCCGCATTAAGCTGTGCTGGTATTGGGCAGAATTGAGCTGGGCCGGTCCATCAGCACGCCTAATGAGCAAACCGTACTCTCTAAAGGTCAAAGATCACTTCCCACCAGCCTGACCTGGCTCAGCGGGTGCTAAAGGATTATGAAAAGAACGCGTATCAAATAGCCGAGGTTTGCGAGATGCTTCCTCGTTGGCTGGATCTGGAGACCAGCCCCAGAGGATAAGCAGATGACACTTAGATTGAAGCATATCCAATAGCGACGGTGCCACGGGCGATAGCTTCAGACGGAGAGGGAAAGTAGACGTGGATCGCTTGCATTGATTTGTGTCATTATGTCCGTGTTCCATGGCGTATTGGGTGTCAACATCTCTATTGACTACCAGAGTCCCCACATTGCCCTGGGAGAGGGGCAGGAGGAGAAATAGATTTGTTTATGGAGAACACCCCCCAAACACACACACACACACGCATACAAACACGCACACACACACGCACACACACAGAGGTTTGTTACACTGTCAGGAGGAGGGACCATACACCTAACACTCTTGTAGTTTAAATACATATGTATATGTAATAAACTACAAGGCCAAAAGTATGTGGATGCTAGTATATCCCACCAATATGTGCTTGTAGAGTATTTCATTTTAAAAATATAGGTATAAATATAGAATTTGTCACCTTTTCGCCACTTTCAAGGCTTTCCACTAGATTTTGAAACATGGCCACAAAGATTCACCTCCATTCGTCCACAGGAGCATTAGTGAGATCAGTTACTGACGTTGGGTAATAAGGCCTGACTAAGCTGGCATTTTGGATCATCCCAGAAGTGCTGGATGGGGTTCAGTGAAGGCCAGTCACGTTCTTCCACACCAAACTTGCCATGTCATTGCTTTAAAACCTTAAATTGTGGACGGGGGCATGTCACTCTAAAACAGGAAAGGGTCTTCCTGAAAGTGTGGCCACAAAACATATAATTCTCTATCCCAGTCCACGGGGGAAAAAAGCCTAGCCCATTATTCCTCCTCCACCAAACTCTATAGTTGGCAAAACACATTCAGGCAGGTAGCGTTCTCCTGGCATCTGTGAAACTAAGATTCATCAATGCATTTCCACTGCTCCAGAGTAAGGGGCTTGGCATGTGTAATGCCACATGGCTTTTTTGTGGCTGCTTAGCCAAGGAAACCCATTTTGTGCAGCTATTAACAAACTGTTCTTGTGCTATTGTTGCTTCCAGGGCAGTTTGGACTTTGGTCAGAACCAAATCTAGAATTCTACATGCTATTTGCTTCAGCATTCAGCAGTCCTGTTCAGCTTGTTGGAGCTTGTGTATCCAACAATTTCAAAGCTGAGCTGCTCCCAGATGTTTCCACTTCACAATAACAGCACTTACAGTCAACTAGGGCAGCTCTAACAGTGTAGAAATATGAGGAACTGACTCGCTGGAAAGGTAGCATCTTATCACAGTAATGACAGTACCATGTTGACAGTAACTGAGCTCCTCCGTCTAACCCATTCTACGGCCAAATTTTGTCTGTGGAGACTGCATGGCTGTATGCTTGATTTTATGCACATATTAGCAATGAATGTGGCTACAAAATCCAAACTAACTAATTAGAAGGGGAGCCCACATACTTTAGGCCACATGCTGTTAGAATTTTCTAAGCGTAACCCTAACTCTAACCTCAGTAGCCAAAAGGAAATGTTTTTCCATTGTGTTATAATTTTCTCAGCATAACCCTAACCCTGACTTTAACCTCAGTAACCAAAAGGAAATGGTTTCACTTTTTCAGTTTAAAAATTTAACATAGCTTCTCTACAATACAATTTACAAAGTCAGAACAAATTTTTGGCCCTGGTATTGCAGGTTAGCCCTGTTTTCTTCTGGTCTTCCTACAAAGTCTGAACATTATGAGTCCTGGAAATGTACAAACACACCACCAACAATCCAGCAACAGGCCTGCCTCAGCCTGAGATGGGACAACTTCTGTTACTGTACATATCCTGCACTGCACCACAGGCTAGAGAAAACACAGCTCATCCCTGTAGGGAGGACCACACACATGCACACATACATGCACTCATAGACCCTGCCACCCAGCACATACACCCACACACACTGCAGAAACACATAAGGTACACATTCTTGTAGCAATTACCTAAAGAGCATAATCTGATACTTTGGAAAACAAATGAAGCAGCTCTAAGCTCGACAGTCTATTTTCTTCCATTTTACCAAACAGCTTTCCACCACAAGTGATTCTGGCAAGGTTTCAGCTAGGAAAACACTGTGAAGGGAAACAGTATTAAATGCAGGAAAAAAAAAACAAATGAATTCACTTAAATGGCCCCTTTGATTAGAATTGTTTGTCTGTAGTCTTAGGAAACACCTTAACTCTTTCACGGTGAGCCAAAAAAGTGTCTATTCCTGCCTTTTAATCTAATCTTCTTAATTAAAAACATCTTTTCTTAATGCTGTTGTCTTACCTATGTGAATGTGTGAAGAACATGACCTGAGAAAAGAACCATTTTTTTTAGTTTTTTACTTTGTTTTTATTGCAAACTACCATTTTGAGCAAGCAAACATTTGAATTAGAACATACTTCACACTTTAGTTATTGATGATAGTAAGCACAGTAAGTTGATCTGTGTTTACAGGCTCACTCAGAAACTATCACAGTGCATCCAACAATAAAGGAAGAATGGAGGTTCTTTCATACAGTGACAGAAAACTCCATTTCCACATGCTGATCCATTTTACTATGACCAACATGGACATGCATGCACACTAAGAGCTCTGGGGGCAGTTAAAAGAGACAAACAGTCTGAATGGATTGAAACATGTGGTATGATAAAGTGTGTCAGTAAGAAAAAACAATGTGGAGAGAAAGAAGCCCAAACAAAATACTTTCCCATAAGCATGTGACATGAGAAGAAGGGGAGATACTCACAAAATAAAAAATAGCATTGATATAAAGAAGATAACCCAGAGAAAGGAAGAGGAGAAACATGTAAGTGGTGATAGGAGAGTGGTAGGATGAGTGCTAAGTTGGTTATTGTGACAGGAGATGTGTTTGACCATTAAAACAAATCTGTTGGCTGGTTGCTTTGCATTGGCTAGGCAATGATTAAGCAGATATGAACCCTGAAATCAAACAGAGCCTCCAGCCACAGAGGCATTTCACTCACTCCGAGCGTTACTGACATTTATGACAAATATGCAAAAGAGGAAGGAGGAAAGAGCGAGCGAGGGAGGGATGAAAGAAGAAGAAACAGATGGAGATACGGGGACTAAACCGCCCCGAAAAACAGAGCGTGGCCCAGAGGAGTGCAGCTGCCAAGATAAACTTCCCTTGAAAGCACGTTCTCCAGGTGCTCTTTACTGAGTTTTAGAGGGCAGAGGACCTGTAGCTATTCAAACATACAGATAGATAGATAGACAGAAAGACAGAAACAGAAACACTGAAGATCCGATGGAGCTGCAGCACACAGGCAGAGTCAGAAACGCGACAAAGGGAGACCTCTGGTTGAAGAACAACACTGAGCTCATGGGGAGTAATTTGTGTCTGTTAATGTGAGTGAATGAATGAGTGAGTGACTGACTGAATGAGTCAGTAAGTGAATAAGAGTGAGTGAGTGAGTGAGTGAGTAAGTGAGCAAGTGAGCTAGTGAGTGAAGTAAAGGGGGAGTGAGATCGAGTGAGTGTGCGAATGACAGTGTTCATTAGTTAGCTCCTCATGATTCTCCTGCTGAGTTATTAAACCTCTAATCAGATCCACTTGATTCTCACATTCAAATGATTCTGAAGACTTGAACTCGATCAGCTGTGTTAAATTATGAACTGGTAAAGATGTGAAATCTGCTTAGTGTAAGGGACGGTTATCAACAAAGTTTTGAAAAACTTCTTTGGCAAAATAGATGGCAATACACATGGGTTGTGCTGGTTTTCGGTGGTGTTGACCAGCAAGACTGTTACAAGTAGTGAAGCTATTAGTTTTACTACATTTCCCAGTAAGCATGGTGGCAGCACTGCTACTTTCCAATCAACAGCTTCTAATATCAGTGGCTTTTCAAGATTGAACCTTCTTTATGGTTCAATTAGCAGTGCATTTCTGACAAATGCTACATCGATTTATTTCACAGACTTGATTAAAGTCTAATTGATTAAAAAATAGTACATGACAAGGAACGCTATACGGTGAACTCCAGGTGCTACTGGGCTGTGAAAGACCAAAACACTAGTGCCAGTATCATCACATTTACTATTATATTAACTTTTTTTTTTTATTAATAACAGCATTTATTTATGTTCTGTGAAAAAGTAGTCAAGTTAAACTTGTAGTCAAGTTAGTCTTAATATGGGCACAAGTAATGAGTGTAATAATAGTAATATTTGGAGATTACTATTAGTAAAATTACTATTAGTAAAATGCTACTTAATTCACATACTGACTGTGTGCTGCCTACAACTTACCACCCTTGGCCATTTTTTACAGGACTGATTTAAAATCTGTTTCTTATGGAGACTATGGAGAGGTGATTTAGAATCAGTTCTTATCCTTAAGTACTTATTCTATACGCTTGTGTATAGTGTAATTTAATAAACAATTTATAGAACAAATTGTTAAACTGGCAGCTTATTATAATGTTAAGTAGCGTCAGAAATATGAAATATAGTTCTATGCAACATTTGAACATAGTCGGACAAATTACATTTTGTTTGTTATTTGCTACGTAACTTAAATATGTAGATTATATGTACACTATACTATGTAATACACTTCTATTCATTTGCTCTTTTATCATAATCGAAAAAATAAAACATAGAATATCAAATGTGCCATAACTTTTGCACAGGACATGTTTTATGTTTTTCCAATATGTTAAATTGAGCAAATAAACAGTAATAATAAAAACTAATGTGAAAGGAGCTAAAGAGATGTGTGAACATCTATACATAAGCATATTTGACTATCTATACATATAATCACTATTACATCCACTGTGGCTGTGTAGACGCTGTGTACAGTGCAGATGCTGCAGTCATCAAGATTGCGTATGCGTTCTCTTACCTTGGTAAGGAGTTGTACTGTCTTTGTGACTGTGTGAAGGCGTCGCGGTCATCTTGTCTCTGTCGCTGCATCTGGACTTCTACGGAAACAGAATGCCTTCCTGTCGGATTGTAGGCCCCAGCATTGGCCTGTGGAAAACAAACAGTTTCCATCATGCACTATCAGCTCTACACACACAGCTCTGCACTAGCATTTCAGCATGAGGATTTCATTTAGACCCATTCAAACCCCACACTACACTCAACCCAAACACACTGCAGAGCTCGACCCCATCCACATTCTTCACCCCTGACCTTAACCACGCGTGTGACTTGTAGTGATGGAGCGCTCGTTGCTGAGTGGGGCCGATTACCTTCCCATGCAATTCAACGCCTCTAATGAGCAACATTGTTATTGCATGACAACACAATTAGGTGTGAGAGTGGCTGGGCTAGCATTTGCTGACCCAGAGAGCTAACGCTAATGCTGTACACACGTTTGGAAGAAACTATTAAAAAGGACATCAGAGCAAGTCTTTACTGTCCTCTGAAAAAGGTCTTTGTCTTTTGCGAGCAGCTGTAAAAACAGAAGAATGAAAGCCCTCGCCAGAGTCAGTTCCATTAAAAACAGGGAAACCGAGGCAATTACATGTGTGTCTAATGAAGAGAGCGCAGAGACTTCTCTAGATACAACATGTCTGGCAGCAACCAGTATCACACCAAGGCGAGAGGAGATGATTCCACTGTGTGCTTTTCACCATGTAAAAGCAAACGGTGAGGAAATAATTAGTCACAGAAATTATATTTTTAAATGAGATTTGAAGAGTAAAAAGAACCTCCAATTCAACAGCCTGAGGGCAGAAATGAGGAGAACGTACAAGAGTGTAAATTATCCTAATTTCTCTCTGTCTTTCTGTGTGTGTGTGTTTTCTACATGTCAGAAAACCAAAGAAAAACACATATTATGTAACTTAGTAAATTCTGACTTTTTAAAGTGCTTTTAACAAAAGTTTCAAGTTTCCAAGTTTTACTTTTTAAAAAGAATTAGATCATTTTTATTTGGTAACTGAGCATAAGATTATGGACAGGTTTATAGTTAGTTTGTTTAGACCACCAAAACTGTCACCAACAGACAAACAGTACTTAAAACTTTTTTCAGCTTTGAGAGAGAGGAAAAACAATGTTTCTGTCCATCCTTCCACTCTAAGAAGACAACTCAACACTATGAGTCTGAAAGGATGTGCAGCTGTAAGGAAGCTGTTACTGAGAAAAGGGAATGAACAAAAATGAGTACTTTTTCAAATCAAACAAAGAAGCTGCTGGTGCTCTTAGAACAATGAAATGAGTCCATCACTGAATGTGTTTAGGATTAATGAGATAGAGGGAAGGTAAAAAAAGCAACCAATTTCCAAGACTGAGCTTTGGAGATGTGGAAAAATACCCCTGCAGATTTCTTTGAAAAGCTGAAAGCAAGTCTCCTGAAAAGAATGGACGCTGTGGACGAGTGGACACACTAAAAACTAAAAAACAAACATTTATTTGTCGAGGCTACTGTTTAATTTTCTGTTAAATATATGCTTTCATCTTTTCCGGATGTTGAAAAATAAATAAATAACAAAATTCTGCAAATCCATACAAAAATACATATAGGATGCATATTACTATCACAGATAGGCATTTATTTATTTATAATAGGCATATATAATAGATATGGGCCACACGTATGTCCTCATGTCCCAAACTTGCATAAAAATGTGTGTGTGTGTGTGTGTGTGTGTGTGTGTTTTCTATCAGTCACCAGATGATGTTATGCGACATGGACGGTCTCCTGATACATTGCTTTTGGGAGAGATCAGTTGGAGTACCTAATCACATTAGCCAGGATAGAATCTGATTATTCATTCCTCAACTGAAATAAAATGCTTTATAAAAACTTGACATTTCCCCTAATCACATTCAAACATGGCACGTCTTTTCTTTATTTTTTTAGCCAAAGAAAAATGATGTCAAGCCTGCCAACCCGCCCAACACCACTCCACCACTTTTTCTCATCTAAATTCTTTGCTATCTGTGAAGATAAAGAAAACATCACAATTCAACTAGTCCCATCTGTTCAAACATGAGAGTACTTTTATCAGAGAAAGCAGTAATTGTGAAAAATTGTTTGCAGCGATTCAAAATAGAAATGCGTGTTTGAGACGGAGAAAAAGAGAGGGGTGGTGGCGCGCTAGCAGGCCAGCAGACTTCCAAATGGTGCATAATAGTTATGATTACCATGTGGGGTGACCCGTAGCCTTTTATATCAAAGCTGGGTCAGCTAGTCGGGTGGATGAGGATCGGGGCCTGCGCGTAAGCTAACTCCCTCAACTCCTCATAACACTGTCTACTGCTCCAGACACACAATCACTTCCAGAGATTACTTCCATCTCTCTATCCACACATACATTCACATATGGAATGAATTTCTCCGCTAATGTGTCTGACTACACAAGAGAAAAAGAATAAAAACAGCAGAGAGACAAACACAGGAGAAGGGAAAACCAGAAAACATCTGTAATGGTTGGTATTGGCGGTAACGTCTAGCATGGCAGCTGTTTATATGATTCAGATCAGATCGGTCAATAAATTCTCCCGGACTGAAAAAAAGAAAGGGTCAGAGATAAAGAAATATAATAAAAACAGAGACAGAGAAAAGCTGTAAAACAGCAGGAGAGCGAAAACAAGAAAGTGTGTGTGAGAGAGAGAGAAGCTGCACAGAGACAGTGAAATAGGGAAAGAGAATGACAGAGAGAATGAATTAAATAGAGAGAGAGAAAAAAGTCTAGGGAAGACCTAAACACTTAAAAGGCTTCCTCAAGGCCCCATTCTACCAATTTATTAAGCGCAGGGCCACTCCATTTGATATAATGTTCATGCAGCCCCACGTTCAGGGCCTAAGCAATGCTCTTTACACCCACAAGCAGGTAGCATTCTGCCATCAGTCTGACTTTACTAGCCAATGTAACTGAACATAAACACACTGGACTGGGAATGCTCAGCTAACATTATAAACAGATATGAATAGATACAAATAGGCAGTGCACTGTTAGTTCTTTGTTTGTTTTGAAACGTTGTCTACAAGTTTCGATCTATAGGAATCAAACAGCAAATTACTTGTTTTTGACCAAAACCATGACGCAGAAGACACACCGCCAACTAACCACAGCTTCATCTCTGTATTGCTAACCACACTTAAAACTGTCTTAATCTTCTCCGAACAATCCCACAGTTCTACAACAACCAGGCTGGAATTCTGAAAGTTTGCAGCCTGAAAAAAAGCATGTTAAAGATCACATTGATTTAGATGGAAACTGCAGTCTTCCTTGCATTCACCCTGTTCTAGTTTGACCAAATAAATTAACAAAGCCAAATTTGTAGACTATGTTGACAAATTGTATTAAAGTTGCCAGCTCGATCTGCTAACTTGCTAAAAGAGACAGAGTTTACATACAGATTTATTCACAACACAATTCTTATTCATCATGTTCTTGTTAAAACACCCTGCTGTCACTTCACAGCAGAGGTGCTGCTTCATATAGCAAGTGATGTTTTTAGAGACTCAAAAAATTTATTTCGTATATCACAACTTCTGGCTACATCCAAACAGATATAAATACTTTAAACACTAAAAAGAATGCACTTTTATGGCTGATCCCGATTCCAATTTCTTTACAGTCAAGTTGGCTCCTCAAGCCAAGAAATCTGTCTTTTTGGGTGACTTATATTAGTTAAAAGTTTTAAATGCTAAGCACCTCAGGGAACTGGATTTTAATTCACTCACTCACATTTAGCAGGCTGAAAATTCTCAACAAGGGGGCATCACTAGCAGACAAATTGCTTTTATTAATTTATAAGTGCAGTGATTCACTTCAATACACCATTTAAGTCGGGTCGACAGTAGTTGGAAACTCCAGCTCAAGCTGGATTTCTCTATTACAAGAATGAATGGCATTCTCCAAGACTGCTGCTACGACTGTCCTGTGGTACTAAAATGTTCCAAACCTGATAAATTATGATAAGTTCTTATGTACAATTATCCACTGAATGTCACCAGATCCTCTGAATTATGAGGTCATCACAGAGCCAAAATATTAATTTTGCTACTTGTAAGGTATGTTAGGAGTAGCTGGTGTCACTATATATAACAGTTTGATCAAGATTTTATGGTAGACTTTCATGGAACATCATTTCAATGCTCAGGAGTGGTAGCTCACTATTAGCAAGGACAAAGTAATGTTCATATCTCGTCTCTTTAATAACTTTGTAATTCAGAGGATCCAGTGACATTCAGTGGAAAAATGTACATAGGACAAAAAAAGATATTGGGTTCGAAACATTTTTGTTTATCACAGCTCTGCAAAATTTCATTTATTTTTGCCAAAGAGAAATTCAGCTTAGACCCAGAGTTCCTAATACAGCCATGACACCAACTACAGAGTGACGCATGACTTCAGAGGTCTATGACTGTTTGTCCTTGTTCACTTTTTTCAAAGTAAAAGGCATCAATAATGTTATTCGCTCTTTACTTTAAGCTCATACCTTGTGGGTTAAATAAAGGCAGACATGATCATATTTTATTATGACTTGAAATCGTAAAACAAAGTTAAATCTGTCAAGATATGCCAACTAAACAGAGATAACAGTGCAGAATTCACACCCCTAGCTTGTATGCTACATACAAACATAATTTGCAGTATTTCTCACCAGATGTCTCAGTGTGCTAAAAGCCCTCACACCTTTAACACTCTGGAAAACACTCACACTATCACACTCCTCCCATTAAGAGCATCTTGTCCTTGGAGCCCAAGTCATCTCTGGGACTGCTTGATGAACATCCCCACAAATGGCTAAGTGGAGAGGAGAGGGTTGAATATTCTGCTATGTATTAAATACTGCTGGATAAGTGCTTCAAGACAGATACACAGCTCCTTTTTCTCTAAAGATAATCGTATCTACCGCATGTGCAGAAATGCATAGAATACAGCTCAAAAGCAAGCTGTGTCTTCTATGGAGGGAATAATAGCTATCTCGACTCATGGAGGTCTTATCTTTCAATTCCTGCTTTATTATCCTGTTCCACATTCATCCCTGTCTGAACGCAGCTATACTTC